CGACAGATTTTGTTTCTTGTAGCAACAGTGTTTAAGCAGAATCGCGAGGGGAGCAAGTTGGTGGATGTTTATTGTAGCGTATTCTACAGCGCAACGGGTTAGAGATGAACATGTAGAGAATAGACACAGCGCTGAGCTCACAAATGAGTGTTATTAGGAAAAGGAAAAAAAAAACATATATAGAGAACAATGGCTCATACAAACTGTGCACATGTGCACATGTGTTGCAACACAGCATGATTCCTGTCTTGTCAAACAAGTAGTTAAATTATTCACCTTGTTGAGAGATAAATGGATGACTTATGCTTTTGTTATTGGATCTAATGAAAACTGCCTCAGCTATTTCACGCGTGCTCTGATCAACATGTGTATATTTGATAGTTGTTTTCTGCGAGTGGGGCACACAACCGCATAAGCTACAATAAGCTGCCAAATGAGACATGATTGCAACAACTGATAGCGTTAGCTCACGCTCTCGCAAGCACATGTTTATGCACCGCCCCGTTTGACCTGCGCTTTGGCAGCTACAAGACAGTGGAATGGGATAAACTATGCCAGTAGCACAAGGCGCACATTTGTGGGCATGATTAGAGACACAATAGTTCTCTTTCTTGGCTGCTGACATAACGGTCAATTCATAGAAAAACACATTACTCTCTTTATTACGTGCTGAAAATAACACGTTTATGCCATAACGAGTACCAATATTTTTCAAACCATGCTCAGGTCTGGGAGTGTATGGGATAATTTCATGCCTCTTTTTCTTGCTGATTTCTGGGGCATTGAAATGACTGCGATGAAACTTCTTGAGCTTTGGTATAAGTTTTTTCCGACACCAACCAAAGAACGTTACTCGGAACGCCGAGGCGAGCAATTTATGGCGCATGCATGACACACAGATGGCTCGCCTTGCAAATTCTGGCTTGCGAGCTTCGTCGCTGACGTCATTCTTTACCCTGAACCCAAGCGCGTGTGAAATTGACAGCGCCGTCAGTGACGTCGTTCATCTTTTTGAAGCCGTGCCACCGTATTCACGTGCACCAATGATAACTTAGAACTTCCACATAAGTAAGGCAGCGATTGAACGAACGCCCGAACAGAAGAGAGCTTTTCAAGATGCCGACAGGCGATTCGTGAGAGGATTCATGTTCACCGAGCCAATGTGTATAGCCGTGTGGGCATAAGAACAGGTCCTTGTGGTGGACCAAAAGTGACGAGTGTGTATCAAGGATCCGGCAGCCTTCTGAGCTGAAGGCAAGCGACTACGATCAGCAGAGGAAGTGGCCTTTCACGCAGAGCAGCGTCGACGTGGCGATTGGTGAACGCATTCGCCGTGTCCAACACCCGTTTTGGGCGGGAGTTTGTCAAGTGGCACGTTTTCTTAAGCGGCGACTTCGGCAACTACCTGTGGCAACACGTTTCAGCTTCGCTGGTTGAAAGTCGGTGCTGAGGGCTAAGGGTGTGTTTTTTTTTCTCCCGGCGCCAAAATAATTGGCCAGTACCCATAAGTACCATTGTTCTTAAAGGGAAAAAGGGTGTATCAAAAGCCAATTATGCGTAAAAAAACATTTAAATCAGTTTTAATAGCTTGGCTTAGTAGTGGTATATTAGTTTTGTGGTCGCATTTATGTTGGTTAAATTGGCCGATGTGAGCTTCTACGCCTCACAGAGCATAGACATTCTTTAGTAATATTGTCATTTGGCGTGGCATTGGAAATCCTGCTAATGCCCATTGCTAAATAAAAATAAACAAGCGTTCTGTTTCGGAATTTTCTTTAAACTACGCGCATAAATACTTAAGCCTATGATATTTTCAGGAATCCAGGTAAGTGTATTTTGCATTCATCATTGTTCCCACATGACTGTGAGTTGAAATGCAAAATAGTTCACAGCCAAGATCTTTATTGAAACAATTTGCATGCTGCTCGTACTGTCTTCATAGGCTTTTTGGCATGTACACTTTCATGTATAAATGCGTCCTTTTAAGGTGCAGATACAGCAGTTGTTAATGAGCACTCGTGATGTGTAGTTCCTACTTCGTCTGAGGTGTGTACCCGCGCTTCAAGGCCACTGAAAGAATAGTATAAACAACAATATTTTGGCTTTTACGTTCCGAATTCACGATATCAACATGAGGGACGTAGAAGTCGTGGGCTCTGAAATGTTTTACCATCTGGTGTTCTTCACATGCACTCAAATGTGCAGTACACAGTCCAGTGACCATTTATTCTTCAGCTGCAATGCAAGCGCCATGGTGGAGATCGCACCCGCGACCTTTTGATCAGCAGCTGGGCACCATACACACTGTTCCACCGGGCCGGACAGGTGTCCGAATCGACCCAGGGTGTCTGCGTGGTAAGGAAGTTTTGCGCCATTGATCCGATAGAGTACCCTATATATCCATTTGAGAGAGTTCTGGCGCTAGTGTCTACAGGAGCTGCAATGCATGGCACTTCAGCGAGCATGGAAATGACGGTTAGTAGACGCATTTTTCTAATCTTCGTACTTGTGGCTGCGTCTGTGTTCGTGCATAGAGTTTCCTAAAATTAACTAGAAGGGACTCGGGCGCTGCGATCGTTCAGTGACCATGGGAATAATGGGTAGTACATGGATTTGCCAAATCTGCGTACTTGCAGGCGGCGTATCGTACTTGCGGCTTCGTTTATTGCTAGTTGCACTTTTGGTTTGAAGGAAAGAACAAGCCCTTTTGTACTTTGTGACCAGATTCTAAATGGTAAGCCTAAAACAATAACGATGTGAAGTGCAACCATTGAACATTTGCTGGTGTTTGTTTCGTGAGAAAACTGCTCCGAACCACACGAATACACACCAAGCCCGAAAAAGGCCAGAAGTATGAAGATTAGACAAATACTTGTACCAGCCATCATTTCCATGCCATCTGGGGCACCATGCGTTACAGCTCCCATAGAAACTAGTGCCAGAATTCCATGTAGTGAATATTAGGAAACTCTATGTGTTCATGTGACTTGGGGCTTTTTTGTAACGAAACAGAAATCAGCGAGTGTTCAGGGGATGTGCTTCACCACATCAATCTACTACTCTTATACCATTTCAAATCAGGTCACAAAGTTCAAAAGGGTTCGATCTTTGCATTCGATAGCAGAACCGATACACAGCCTATAAACGGCAGCCACAAGTGCTTTTCGCCGCTCACAAGTACGAAAACTAGGCAAATTCAGTGTACAACGCATCATTCCCAAGGTCGCTGAAGGATAGCAGTGCCCAAGTCCCCTCTGGTTAATTATAGGAAACTCTATGACTGAGCCGTCTTCTAAAGTCATTTAAAAAAATTGGCTCCAGATCTGGATGCTACACTGCAAATGTCATCGAAAGACGACAGTCTTGAGTCTGGAGAGGGGGGGGGGGATAAACAACAAGAAGGAAGGCAGGGAGGTTAACCAGGCACATACCCGGTTTGCTACCCTACGCTGGGGGAATAGGAAGGGGGCATAAAGATGACAGAGAGAGAGGAAAGAGAAGAAAAAGAGAGAGAGAGAAAAAAAGGAGGATTGTCAGTCAATCGGCTGAGTCTGGAGAGAGTGAACAAAACGTTTATTTGATGCTCTGCGCGAGAAAATTGGTGAATGGTATCCTGGAGGCGCTGCGTTAGACTGCGTCGAACGTGCAGTGGAGGCGAAATCGCGCATCAAGTCACGTCACACGTGCGACATGAGCGTTATCTGGCAATTATCTTGAAAATGATGAGCACGGCGCACTCGCCAGTCTCGGAGGAGTTAAGGTGTAGAACGCAAGGCGACAGATAGGTGCCACCACCGTGTTGCCTCAGCAAAGCGATGAAAACACTTGCCTTTTAGTGCAAGCGTTGCATTGTCAGCGCAACGTGATAAATGCTATGGTCTTTAGAATTACTTATGTATGCCATTTGTAGTAAAAAAAAGGACACATACAGGATTTTCACGTGTTGTTATAGTGCCTCAAATATGCGCAGTAATTGCTTTTAATTTACAATCGCACAAGTATGAATGCTGAAACTTGAGCATTATTTGTGGGCGCTGTAGATGGGGCTGGCCGTTTGGGGTATTGTTAAGGGTGGACAAACATACAAATGCACAGGCAGACAGACAGACGGATCAAAATTATTCCGTTTAGGGCCCGCAAGAAAGACTATCGTCTTTAAACACGGAACATAATATTATTGGCTTGTGTTGGAAGCTGTTTCTTTAGCACGCGTTCTCGCATGTTAAGGTATGTTCGTACGTCACCTCACAGACGCTAAATAAGCACCTGAGAATTGTAATTGGTGTACACATTATAGGACAGCTTGAAACGGCCTATGTTACGTACGCAGCTCGTTTTGTTCCGGCATGGTTGATATATGCAGCCAAGCACTTTAACGGCAACACAACTGCGGTGGACCATATATAGAATGTTTGATAGCTGCGTCAACAATAGAAGCAGTCTAAGGTGTCTCACTTCAGAAAGTTCTGTGAGAAAAATGTTCGCAGTCACGAATGAAGTGTAGCCAAACAATTTTCTTCAGATCTACCACTTCTAGTTCAGCATGACAGAACAGAAGTTCTGCACACAAAAACTTCTTCTGAAGATTCAATACCAAAAAAATGAGTATAGCATTTAGAGCTGCCCTTTTGACTTGCAAGTTCTTGTGAGTACTCTATGTTCTTTTTTTTCAAGTACGTTATGAAAAAGCCGTTGGAGGAAATAGACCCGGAGGGATTTTATTCAACGAAGTAGGCATAAAACGTTTACCTATATTTTTATACACGCCAATAACACAATCTTCTCAGGCATCGACGTTACCTGCCGGGTGTCATTTCAAAGCGGGCGTTGCACAAAGAACAACTCCTCGTCTTAAAAAAAAAAAAGACGTGCTCGTCATAAATGTCTCGAAGGTCGTGACGATACCGGCACGAGCTGTGACCCTAACAAGATGGACAACATGTTTTATGCCGCATCTCAATCATAAAAGGACACACTGCAGACTACTCCTCCTGCGGCACATCACACGCCTGCTATGAACAGCTTCAAAGAAACAGTTCTCTTAGGTGCAACACCTTTGGTTCCGTGGCGGCGTGCCTCACGAAAATCTCATTTTGCCTCCACTCCTGGAAGCGACAATGTTCAATTGGGTAGTTTCTTCGAATGCGCGTTTTCCGATGCTCGTTGAAGTTACCCTTCTTTGCTGTTTCTGCATTACTTACTTGGTAAGTGAGTTAATATTTTACAACTTTTTCGTTTCTGAATGGCACAAAATAACTTCATGCGGGTGCTGACACATTTTCAGCCGTGGTAATAGTGCCTTCTTGCTGGTTTGGCAATGGCACCCATTGCTATTGCGCGCAGTAAACAAGCCGTGCAGGTTGTAAAATCTTCAGTGGTATAATTTAAACAAACTGAAAAAGCGGTAAAATAAACGTGAAAATACATTAAATCGGAAAGATTGTTTTGCTAAAAATACGCATAACGTAATGTTGTGCTCTTAGTGATATACAAATGAACTAGAATAGCACTTGTTGCATCGAAAATGCTGGTCCTTCACTGTAAAGAAATGAAATATGAGTCTTTCTGTAATGAAATATAGGTAGACATGAAGGAGAATGCCCCCCCGCCTCCCACGAAAACAAGGAATATCCCCCTTGTCCCCTGTCGCCACTTTACAAACAATTTACAAATAAGAAACAATCTTTACAGCTACAAGGTTCAGTTGCGAGTGCAATGACCACTTGTGTTGAAGGTTTTACAACACAAGAGCGAATAGCAAACGAATGCACTTCCTTGAGTACATATTCTTTTAATTGAACAGGTAATTAAACAAGCGCGTAAATGATTTCGGAATTCATTTTGGTTTACCGGTTCTAGGCTCACGCCGATATCATCAATATGGAAGGTGAGTACATTTTTTAATTTCACAAAATATAATTGATCACTAATGAATGTAATCAACTTCAGGAATCAAAGAAGACACTTTAAAAGAAAGATACATAAAAAAGTTACTTAAGCACGATGCACATGCATGTGGTAAAAATGACAGCATGCTTTTTTCATAAGAAGAAAAACTGGGGTGCGGTACAAGTGTTGCCGAAGAAACCTAATAAAGATTTTTCGGAATCGGTTTACTAAGTGGTCGAACACATTATAGACAATATTAGTTTTACTGAGTGAACTACCTAAGTGAAAAGATGAATGAAATCATGGATCAATGATCCATGGCTTTAATCATCCTCAGTTTATTTATCGGCTAATACTACTTTCCTCAGGTTAATAATAATGGCTACTCATGCTTTGTAATATTACAATTTGATTGCTGGTGACCAACACAAACCTATGAGAACCATAAACGATATAACTCAAGTTTACCACAGCGATTACGGCATTAGAAAGATTGTGACTGCTCATTCAGGTTGTCTGTGCTAAGTGTCGGATTCTGTAATTGCAAAGCATTCACTCGAATGGCGAATTTCTAACTATATAATACAGTTTCTTTCACGTGTGCAGAATTCGAAACATTTGTGTGGGGCTGTTGGAAAAGAGTATTTGCGCTCATAAAAGAGCAACCGTATAGATGTTAATAATGAGATAGCACTACAGAGCTAGTTTCGCTGAAATCTTGGTGTCAGTGTCGGCATCATCAGTTCATCTGGCCCATGAAAGTATTTTCTCAAAAAATTGTTAAAAAAAGATTCAAACAGAATAAAAAAGTACAAGAACTTAAATAGAAGCCGGTATCGAACACAGGCCTTCTGGGTGGTAAGCGAGGGCCCAATCTTAGCTCCACGATCTTAGCAAACTCTAAATAAACAATTTGGGCGTTAAAGAGTTTGATTTACGCACGTAATCTTACGCGACAGAACAGTATAATAGGGCCAGGCTTCAAAACACAACAATTGCGCAAAGAATCGATGTTTCAAACACCCGCTCGTTACAAAGTGCTCAAAATTACGTTCCTGGGTCGCCTTAAGGACACGTAGTAGGCACTCAACACTTGCACTTTTTGTAGACAATGTACGATAGCTGGAAACGGGCCATAATACGCGCGCAGTCATTAGTTTCCATGCGGCACAGTTGAGGCTAAAACCGAGAACTGAGGCAAGGCTAGCATTTGAGAAGGCGGTACACTCAGAGGCCGATTGCAATATCAACTTGCACTGTTAAACGCGATGCTCCAACGTCCTCCAATTTTATCATAATCGCGCCAGAGAAAGTGCTTAGTAGAGAAGCTCAGTTTTGTCACAACACGCATGCCGTGAGCAGAAAACGAGAAAGAAAGAGACCATAAAAAGCAATCTATAGAGCCGTCAAGAGCCCGTCTTAGCAGCGCAATGCCTAATAATTTCCGGCAGATTGGTCAGACGAAGTATTATTTGCAATCTTCAAAATGACTTCGACAACTACTGAGTTCTATGGCGCCTGTTTGTATTCAAGGGGGAGTGAGGGGTGATAATGTTATGTGCAGAAAATCGCCGCAGCTCAATAAAGAGTTGTGTAGGCCCGTGAGCTCAGATTTGGGTGCACGTTAAAGAGCCCCATGTGGTCAAAATTTCCAAAGCCCTACAATATGGCGTCTTTTATAATCATACGGTGGTTTTGGGACATTAAACTCCACATAAAAAGCAACCAATCACCAATCAATAACGAGTTATAAGAACAAAGCAGACCTTTCCTTCCAATACATTCTCACTGTCAGGTTCTGTTAAAGAATAGCATAGTTCTAGCAGTTCTAGAATTACTCTGCGTAAATCCTGAAGTGTCGTTAATTGCCTGGATATGTTTCATGACACGTCCTAATTAATGAAGCCTATTGTCTTAACAGAAACATCATTAGGTAAGTAAATCCTGAAGCGTCATTAATTGCGTAGATTTGTTTCACGACACGTCCTTAATAATGAAGCCTATTGTCTTCACAGCAATATTGTTAGGTTAGTACGGAACCAAATTAGCTTTCAAACGCTATTTCGATGACAGTTGTGTGAGAAAAAAAGCGTATTTTAAAATATTCCGTTAACATCGCTTTCTCAGACAAACTTTCCCACCCTTGCATGTTCCAGGTTGTGGTGAGTATGCCGAAAATATCAAGGCTAAACCTGGGAAGATCTTCAGTAGGCGGCTTCAGCCTTGGATCGTGGAAGTATCCTTTCTTTTGTCGTGTGCCACGTGATAAGCCATTTTTCACCCTAGTTGGCTGAACCAGCAATCTCAGCAGCAATACTTTTAATCTATAATGTATTACATTACTGCGCACCCAATATTACCTACACAGTACACATTTATTAGGTATATGAAAAATTTTCATAATACTTTCTCAGCTAAGATTTTTTGGTATCAGAAAATACATCTTAACAGCACCCTAGTTCAACCTTTTAAGAATACCATTGTTCAATGTTCAATACTTTGAACACTTCAGGAATGCCTATACTTTATTGTCACATTCCGATTAACATACTTTTATTTTTTCCCTCTTATACGTCCCACAGGTGCACATATATGCAATATTCGATCCAAGGCAGCAAAACGAAGAAGGAACATATGGGTGCTCGGGCAGCATCATATCGCCAAGATTTGTACTGACATCAGCTCATTGCCTCACCAATGGCACAGCGTGCTGTGGTTACCCCACAAGGTATCTTGCCTAAAATGTCTTAAAACTCTTCCTAATAATGTTTGTAGCAAGGTGAAAGCATGTGGTGTGGTAACGCAAAATAATTAACAAAAGGTACTTTGGCACGAGTGCCGCTAGGAAGAAGTTCTGAAAGAATAAAAAAAAAGTATGTAGGCTTGTGAATTCAAGTGCCTTTCTACAGACGTGGTCAGTCTCTTGCTTACATCGTCAAGGTTTACGTGAACATTTTTTTTTGTGGCTATAGGTCGCTTTTTACATCAAGTACAGCATCATAGAATCTAGCGAGACCTCTTGCAGTTCGTAAGCTCGACGACATTCTAGAATTGCTCACACCAAGAAATAGTTCAGTAGTTTTACCACGCTTGAAGTGATTTACTCTAGGTGTTTAGCATTTCAGGAGAATGTGCTGTCATGTGCTGTCGAAATCGCTTGGGGTAACGCTCCATGTACAGCATATCAAGCGCGCTAACGATAGAAAAGCTTTTCTTTTTACCTGGTACCTTGATGATAAAAAGTGGGCGAACACAAGCGCCACCAAAAGCTCTATCCGAATATGTTGATCAGTGACAGGCGCTTTCGGCTGTTGGTGCGAAGGTCGCTGGTTCGAGCTCGGTCGCAGAGGATGCATTTCAATGGAGGCGAAATAGTAGAAGCCCGCGTACTTTGCGACGGTGAGCGTTAAAAGCACAACCGCTCGTCTAACGTCTACCCTTTTCTCGGTCCCAATTTCTTTTGTGCGTTGTCTTGCACCTACCACCTATGAATCATTACCAGCATGGCCAGCTTTCAATTCCAACCAGACAAACAGAATTTGCGCAGCCGGCGGCTTTCCTAATGATACCGCGATGTTTGGACGTAAAACCCCAACACAATATTATTAACGAGAAGTCCTCTTTCTCTCGTTCTTACAGGGCCTTGATGACGATGAGTTATCTTTCCCCATAAACAAGCTATTGCGCTCACTGTGACACAGAGAAAACTGCACATGAAAATATAAAAAAGTAGAAAAAGCGATTGCAAAATAGAAATAAAAAGAGGGGAACAACAGGAGAATGAATGTGGAAGAAACAATGTCGGCGTGAATATAGAGCAAGAGCTATGGCATCGAACAACGGCTTAGCCAGGGGCTAGCACAGCGAACTCATGCCATCCTCCCCCATCCCCCCACGCTGAAATGTTTTCGCTTTGGCATACACAAAAAAGATTCACCCAATACAACGAATTCCCCACCCTCCCGCCTCCGGAAAACATTTCTGCCCACGTGTCTTAACATATAGACAGAATGGGCGCTATCTGTGCCGCTGTCCAGCGAGAAATGGAGGACAGGCAGGGTGCTTCCAGCAGGTGTGGCGTCAAGCATGGCCGAAATTTTTGCCAGTAGAAGGGGGGCCGTGTGTGATGGGCTAGCGTTATGCGGAAAAGGGAATACGCAGAAGATGGGACGCTACCCAACATTAATGCGTGCCAAAAAGCATGATAGAGCTAGGAGGGCATATAGGTTGTCGCACATCGGAGCACCCTTCTGTAAATGTTGTGAGTCACGCTTTGACAATCACGCTGCCATCCACCGTCATGAGAATCGACTCGCAAGATAAATCATCGAACCTTATTCAATTTTCAAAGAAAAGTATCTGTGCATTCGCCATCCTTCCGTATCATTGTCACAGAGTTTATGGACTTATGTTCAGGCGTCGTTTGATAAAAAGTTGTTCTTACAGCGAAACTTGCATATAGCTGCACGAGAAACGAAAACGCATTCGGCATCGATGTCGCGGGTGGTCTCCAGTGGCTGTGCTATCAGTTACGTCGTTCTCAGCCTCTTACCCAAACGCGCGCCATTGGCTGCTCTGTGAGTGACGTCATTCATCCCGTCGCAGCCATCGTGCTGAGCACGAGCGCATCAGAAGCTTCCACATGGGTAAGCCACGGAAAACACCAGAAGAGCACTGACAGTAGAATTGTGAGAGTGCTCGCATTCACCGAACCAATGCTGCAGTCTAGGTACAAAAACACAACCGGGAGGCCCAGGGCCAGCCACAACTTCGTACCGGTAATCCGGCAGCCTTCAAGCTGTGCTAAATATCGAGCGGGGATTATAGCGAAGGTGACGGGCTGATCCTGCAAACCTTGCCGCCGAGTCAGCTCGCGATGCCAAACGCTTGCAAGAACGCCTCCTCAAAGAAGCAGATTTAGCAGGCACAACAGCGTCAACGCAATTATTACAGGAGCCCGTTTGCCGGGGCAATAGCCCACTTTCGGCGGGAGTTTTTCCAGTGGAACTTTGGCTGCATCACTGTGAAAAAGAACAAACTCATGTATACTCTCATAGGCCTTTATATATCGCCGTCAAATAATCTCGATTCCAGAGATTAGGAGATATTTTGAGAGTGTGTCCTGCACCACGGCTCATCATAGGTGATTTCGATGCGCACCATCACGCACGTGGAAGTACGCGGACAAATGCAAGAGGACGCAGGTTAGCAAACATCGCCTACAACTATGGCCTTACTCTCCTGAACGACGATAGCCCTACTTTTCTTTGAGGGGTGACATACGGCATCTGTCTTGACCTTGCTTTTGTCTCCAACTTCCTCGCGAAATACGTCAAGTGGTTTCCAGATGCTGAGACACGAGGAAGTGATCACATTCCAATCTACCTTAACAACAAAGGCTTGTCTAGTTGTGGTCCACGGACGACCCTTCGAGCAGTCCAATGGACCAACTTCAAATCTGACACGGAAATTGCTTGCAGTGATAGCCTATGATCTGGGTTACAGCAAACAATTAGGAGCACAATGCTAAACGCCACTCGCACGGTGACAATATTTTCCACATGAAACGACTTCAACCTCGAGTTGGAGCGACTCGGAGCACTTCGACGCCGAGCGGAGCGATCGGCTTACAAAATCAATTCACGGTCTTAGGGCAGCCAGGAGGATGAAAAAGAAGATTCGGCGTCGCATAGATAGATAAGCGTCGGAATGATTGACAACGTTTTGCCAGTCACTAGGCCCTCGCAAGCCACTCTCACACATTAGGAAAACGGTGCAAGGTCTGCGTCATCTCACGGAACAGCGTTTTCCATTCAATGCGCTCACGCTATTTCAAGGAAGGCGAGACATCGATGTCACAGAACATTTCTGTGCGCAGATCGCCAACCAAGCCACTCGTCCAGATTCTCCAGTGAAAAGTGACGTCCCCCGTTTTCGTGACGACCACATGGACCTCTCTTTTACGATGAAGGAGCTCGAGGCGGCACTAGCTTTCTGCAGGTGTTCAACTTTTCCGGGCCCAGATGGTATTCCGTACCGAGCCTTGTGCAACCTTGAGGAAGGTGCAAGGAGAGAACTGTTTAGCCTTCACAACATCTCAAGGCAGGATGGGAATGTTCCTGACGACTAGAAAGTAAGCCGCTTGTTACCCATCTCGAAGCAGGGCGAATCCCCACACGAACTCGCCTCATACCGCCCAATGGCCCTGGCCAGCTGTGTAGGGAAGATAATAGAACGGAAAATACTAAGCCGCCTGAAGTGGTATCTCGAATACTTAAAGATTTATCCTTATTCCATGGCTGGTTTCCGACGCGGCCACCCTTCAATGGACAAAGCCGTTGATCTAGTTTCGTACGTTCAGCACGAAAGATCCCGTAAGCGACTATTTACAGCTTTGTTTCTAGATGTGAAAGGCGCGTATGATAATGTACTACATGAAGCCATTTTGGGTGCTCTTGTGGTGGTTGGCCTTGGTGGTCGAGTTCTTCGGTGGATTTCGAGCTACCTGGATGCAAGGTCATTCTTTGTGTTAGGAGAAGATGACCCAACTATGTGACGCTATACTTCCAGCGGTGTTCCTCAAGCTGGAGTTCTTAGCCTGACGCTATTCAATCTTGCACTAATTGGCCTTGCTGAATACTAGCCAAGTACCACTAAAATCTCAATATACGCAGACGACATCTGTGTCTGGACTTCGGCAGTCACACATCCTTAAATACCTTCCCGGCTTCAAAGAGCAGGAACTATGATTGCCAACTACTTCTTAAAACAAGGTCTCAGCATATCACCAGAAAAACGCGCGCTGGTGGCCTTCACTTCCAAAGCAATGATCCATTATGTCATCTCAATCTGCGGGCGACCCATTTCTTACGCCAGAACTCACCGGTTTCTGGGCATCATTATTGATAGGCACCTATGTTGGAGTCCGCATGTCACCTATATGAAGAAGTGCCTGACATCTATTTTCAATTGTTCAAGTTCCTGGCAGTAAATACTTGCGGAATGTCAGTAGACAGAATAATGAAACTCTACAGAGCCCTGTTTCTCGCTTTCCTGAGATATAGCTTGCCCGTGCTTAGCAGTACATGCAAGACCAATGTTCGTGCTCTACAGGCAGTACAAGCCCAAGCACTGAGAGTGGCTTGGTCTGCCCAGATGTACGTAAACAAAGGCAACAATTGCCATTGCTGATGATTACCTGATACAAACTCACAATGTTGTAGAAGTCCTGAGAACGCACATCAGACACTTTGCACGTGCTCCCTGTCATCACCTTGCACTGTTTCCTTCATAGAGGCGCCAAGCATTGTTCACTAAAATGATTGTGAAGTACAACAAGAAACGTCCCTCGGGCTTCACTCATGCATCTAAACCATCCATACCACCTTGGTGTCTTATTCGACCCACAGTGCATCTTAGTGAACCAGGGATCCGGTGGAAATCTGAGCTTCCATCGCCCGTGCTGAAACAACTCTCTCTTCTTCTTTTGCACGAGAAATATTCAGACAGTGTACATTTATATACCGATGGCTCCACAAACTGCCAGTGTTCGTGAGATGCAGTTGTTGTCCAAGCAAGAGGTGTTACCATCAGCTTTAGGACTTACCACTTCACGGCATCTACAGCAGCGGAACTAGCTGCTTTGCGCGCTACACTTTGTGTGGTCAATCGGGAAGCACCGCAACAATGGTCGATTTTCAATGACTCAGAGGGCTGCCCTACAATCTG